TTTTGTAGTTGTACCCCAAAGAACACCAAAATAATACACTTTATGCCTGAAAAAAACTTGTGGCAAAGTTTGGTGAGTTTTTGTGCATGTTCAGTGGGTCAAATATGAGATCAAACAATAGAAAACCTAAACACCTTAATTCCCAGGTAAACCTTTACACAGCCTCTAGGGGGCGCTAATGGGCCAATGTCATTGTTCACACTGTCATGTGACCTAGGCCCAGGAGTTGAACAACCGAGTCAAGTTTAGTGCAAATCAGAGTTTGTAAATGTGCTCCTGTTTGCACATACAATCTGTGAGTGTGTCCATACAGTCTCCATTGAATAACATGGGAACGTCACACCTCTCTATGAAAATGACCACACTTTGGGAGTCTGTCACGCTCAGACCGTTTGACAAATTCAAATTCTATATTCAACTATTGCTGGTCCATGTGTTGAGATGATGTGGAGCAAATTTCAGCCAAATTAGTGAAACGGCCGCGGCTGGTTTGATGTTTGAGCCAGGTGTACTTTTAAGAGATTTAACAATTTTCCCATAAACACAGACAGGGGAGTGTTGGTGGTCGCCACGGCAACAGGGTAAAAAATAATCATATGTTGTAATTGACTTTTTGAATCCAGATGACAAAACAGAATTATGTGCAAAATTTCAAACAATTTGAAAAAACTAAATTTTATTAGGCCCATGTAAAACTTTGACATAGTCTGTAGGGGGCGCTAATGAGCCAATTTCTATAATTCCACTTTCAAATGACCTAGACCCTGGAGCTGAACAATGGATTAAAATGTTGTGCAAATCCGGCTTTGTTTGTGCAAATGGGAGCAAATTTACTTTTGTCAAAAAATGGAAAAAAAATGTCACATTTTGCCACTCCGCTGCTCGGACAACGTTTAACTGATCCAAATTCTATATTCAATAATTGATGGTACATGTGTTTAGACCATGTGGAGCGATTTTGAGACAAATCGGTGAAACGGCCTAGGAGGAGATAATTTCCAACCGACATGTGTGAAAAATATAAATTTTCATTTTTCCATTTTTTTTTTCCAAATTAATGCGCTCCCTGTTTGTCAGGGGGCGGAGCCATAACTTTTTTTTCATGTCTTGACTTGAGGAACATTTGTATCAAGTTTTGTGGCTCTAAGACAAACTTGACCTCCGACCCCCTCCCATAGGCGCAATGTAAACTGACTTTTGTAGGGGGCGCTGTTCTGGCATTTTTTTAGTCCCATAAAAATAAACACCAAAAAAAAAATTTTTTTGCCGGTTCTGAATTTTGGCCAAAATTTCATAACTTTTCATCAATGTTCAGGGGGTCAAATTAAGAAGAAAAAATAAATAAATAAATAAAATAAATAAACCAAACCAAGGAATTTTTTTTGAAAATTTTCGAGCAAAAACAATATAGGTTTCCATAGTAACCTATAATACAAATGATACATCGTTTTAAAGCGAACGACAAGGCGAACGCAACTATTGGGTTCTCGGTGATTGACGTCTCGACATCATGAGGTCACCCACCCCCCCCATAGGATCCCATTCATTACACTGTGTACTACAGCAGGAGCAAAGCCATTCAGTGCCTCCGGCACTGTTTTGTCAGTGTCTGGGCACGCGCCGTCGGGCTTGGGGGACCCACCTTCAATAGGACCTCAATCATTTCACTGTGTCCTACAGCAGGAGCAAAGCCATCAGTGCTTGGGCACGTGCCGTCGCTTGCAGGTCACAATCTCCGGTCACAATCTCCGGACTTATGACAGTTATAACGAGTAACTGTTGGAACAACGAGTAACAACGTTGGAAAAGCAATAGGCCCTTACCCCAGTTGGGGCTCGGGCCTAATACAAAAAATAAAGAGGGCACCCGCATGTATTTGCATACATATACGTAGGTACACATGCATACGTCCATCCATATTCATACATACACTATACATACACTCCTGCATATATATGCAAATACACACCACCTATACACACAAGTTCATGTACATTCAGAACACACCTTCATACATATTAGCACCTGACCAATACTTTTATTATATGATTTAGAAAGTCCTTAACCAGCTCGTATAAAGTCAATAAAATGTGACCATATTTTAAGGAAAAGGTCTTGCTGTTGGTGTAGCCTAAGGATCACTTTTTTGTAGCTTGCAGTTTTTATCATCCATTCCAGACATTTGTCGAAGGATGAAGGAATTGTGGATTTCCAATCTCGGGTTATAATCCGACATCCTGTGATCAGAGCGATGCTGCACCATCGCGATTGTTCAGAGGACAGTTGATCTGCAGGAACCAATCTGAGCAGGCATAGTTCAGGTTTGTTGACCAGTTTGACTTTAAACAGATTGTTGATAAGGTTAATAATATTTTCCCATAAGCCTAAAACATCATCGCATTCATAAAGCATGTGAATCAGAGTTCCGTTACATTTCTTGCACCGCCAGCATTTATTATCATCAATTACATTTAACCGAGCCATTCTGCTGGGAGTCCAATAGCATCTGTATACGATTTTGTACTTTATCAATTGAGTTTGAGTTTCACAGGATGTAAGATGCCAATTAGTGATAACAGTTTGCCATTGCTCTTGCTCTATAGGAGCCTCTACGTCCACCTCCCATGTATTTTTCAAGCTACTGAGATTGGGTGCGTTAGCATTTCTAAGAATACGATAGAAAGCTGATGGACTCTCAAACATTTATAATTACATTTCAATCAAGAACGTCACACACATAAGTTAATAAAGATTTAATGATAAAACAAACAACAGAATTACAAATTTTGTAAATTATTTAAACTTTCCTTTGTTATAAAAACCCTTTAATATCCGTCAGCGTTTGACTCCTGAAAACACCTGAAACAATAATATTAATAACCAACTAATAATAATAATGAATAAACATGAGATGAACAGAAGGACACAGGAGGAGGACACGAGACACATGTGTTTTTTCTACGTCGTCTGTAAATACACTTCTTTTAATCATTTATTTTTTTGTATCGCAGCTAAAGCCTCTTAAACATTTAGAATATTTAGGTTTTCAGGTGACGTTAATTCACAATTATGAAAGCGAATTTCAAAAAGTCCCACAATTCCATGAAAAAATAGTTTTTTCCAAAGTTTTGTAAAGATATTTAGAGAAGAAATGTTAGTAGGGTCTTTTATTCACATTTATGGAATACTTTTTTTTTTTTTTGGACTTTTCAACCACTTTTTGGAGTGTTTGTTATCAATAAATATCCTTTTTTCGCACCGTTTGATTTTCTTATCTGTTGTTGCCAACGACTAAAATTATTACCCATCTAATCACTAATCTTCTTGTGGTGCAACAGTTTAAGCAGGTCTCTCGATAAGGAACATTTTTCTGGTTCCAGTAAGATGCATAGTTTTAAAGTTTGTGCCAATAACAACATATTTTTGAATATTTTAACTCTATTATAACTTTATACAATTTTAAAGCGTCAATCCAACATGCATTTTAACACACACACAGAGACACACACTAAAACTCAGGCCTTCAAACAAACACAATATATTCTCCCGGCAGGAACCATTTTGAATAAATTAACAACAGTGGTTAGACTCTGGAAGACAAATGAGTTCATGCATTGCACACATAAATTAAACATTGTCCTAAATTATAAAGACATTACAATTAAAAACTTCTCAAACACAGCTTTCCGTTGGAAGAATTCCTGATTTGTATATTTCTATTGATGATTTTCACGCAGGCAAAAAGGTAGACCAGGATCTGCTCTGTTTAAATCATAGACTGTAATTATTAACGGCCGTAGTCACGCCTATCTCCGCCGTTCTAACTAATGTGCCACCACTTCTGCGGGCTATGGGCAGTTTCAAAATGGCCGCGCGGGCTGGAATATGTTAAAAAACGCACCCGCGCATGCATCAGCCGGCACGAGCGCCAATCATTTAACAAGTGCCTTCAAAAATTCACAGCAACTAAACTAGACTGGTCCAAAAAAAATCACCCCCCTCAGCATTGACACACATGTGGAACGGAGCTTTGGGCCAAGAGCCAACTTTTGGACCATCCTTTAAAGGTGTTTTTGAGAGGAAATAAGATACATACATTAGCATTGAATAATTCTTATTCCAGGTCCACCGCCATTGGCCCGGGGTGGTATTGCAAGCATGTCAGCCCACATCATTTTGGACATTTTTGAGCCGGGACCCGCCCCGGCTCAAAAATGCCCCAACTGGTTTAAATGTGCGTCGGCCGTCTTTGTAGTCTTTTAAGCATTCATGGCCAGTGACAGACCTTCTGACCATTTCATCGTAATATTTCAAACGTCTATCAAGCCATTTTAGCAAGCCATTCTTCTTATATGCCACACATTAAATATATGTGTCTGTGGGAAAGCAGCAGGCATTAGTTCTTTGGGAATCGAACCCCAGTCAGTCTCATGGTTAGCTCAGATCATTCAAAAGTTTGAGGTCAGACAGACAATGTTATGTTTCCTTTAAATCTCAAAATGAACACAAATATAGTCCAGTAGAGAGTCCATGCTCTCCTCAATAAGAACCGTTCCATAGCTTCTCTAATCTTCACTACACAAGAATTTTCTAATCAGCAACTAGCTTTTCTCCTTTAGTATTTTATAAATGAAAAACCAACACTTTCTTTCTAAGTGACCTCAAACTGTGGTGAAGTGTATAAAAGCCATTTAAAACATGTTTAAACACTTAAGACTCACTGAATATGAAACTAGATCTCCTACAGTCATTTTGACTCTTCTCAGTTTTCCATCAGATAAATTAAAAGTAGTTAATAACATAGTTACCATAGCAACACGCTGTTCTCTTGCCAAAAAGTGAGTGAGATTAAAACACTTATAAATTACTTTTAATTTATGCTGGTGAAAAACTCATTTTCAAAAATGAGAGCAAAAAGAGAGCAGTCAAAATGACAGGAGTTATGGTTTAGATGCAGTTTGAGTTCATAAGTGACGCATGAGGAACATTCTGATCTGGGATCAGTCTGCTTTCAGATAACCGTTAGTTCCATCCTCTCGTCTCCTCGCCGTCCAACCGTCTTCAACGCCATTATGAAAGCGCAGCCTCAGCGTTCGCCGGATGACCAACCTCTCCACGAGGAAGGAGGCGCAGAACCAGGGCACCGCGTACTCCAGCGTGATGAGCCCTTTGAAATTGTACCTAAACTCAGAATAGTCCCAGGGGCAGGCGTCAAACTGCAGCAGCAGAAACCCTGTCCCGAACTCCCAGAGGTAGGTCCAGAGCGTGTAGATGATGCAGCGCAGCAGGACCGGACATTGCCCTCGCATCGTCAGATACATGCGCTCCACGATCAGGATGCAGGTGCCGTAGATGAACAAGGCCCAGACGCTGGTGACACCCGGAAACTTCCAGTTGCGGTGGACGACGAACTCCCAGGCCGCGGTGAACATGACCTCGCAGAAGTATCCGTGGATGGCGTAGAGGTACCAGCGGGAAAGAACTGTCAGGGGGACCGGCGGGGGGGCGGCGTCCAGGGACACCATGGCTGAGGCTGGGACTGGGACTGGGACTGGGACTGGGACTCGGACTGGGACTGAGGGAGTAAGGTCAGATCAGAGGCGGAGGTGGAAGTCTGGAGGAGAGAATGGAGAAGACACATGTTAAAACATGAGTGCTGAGTTAATGTCTTGTCTCTGTCTCTCAGTCTCTGTCTCTCAGTCTCTGTCTCTAAGTTTCTGTCTCTCAAGTCTCTGTCTCTCAGTCTCTGTCTCTAAGTCTCAGTCTCTAAGTCTCTGTCTCTAAGTCTCTGTCTCTCAGTCTCTGTTTCTAAGTCTCTGTCTCTCAGTCTCTGTCTCTAAGTCTCAGTCTCTGTCTCTCAGTCTCTGTCTCTAAGTCTCAGTCTCTAAGTCTCTGTCTCTCAGTCTCTGTCTCTCAAGTCTCTGTCTCTCAGTCTCTGTCTCTAAGTCTCTGTCTCTCAGTCTCTGTCTCTCAGTCTCTGTCTCTCAGTCTCTGTCTCTAAGTGTCTGTCTCTCAAGTCTCTGTCTCTCAGTCTCTGTCTCTGTCTCTCAGTCTCTGTCTCTAAGTCTCTGTCTCTCAGTCTCTGTCTCTAAGTCTCTGTCTCTCAGTCTCTGTCTCTAAGTCTCTGTCTCTCAGTCTCTGTCTCTCAGTCTCTGTCTCTCAAGTCTCTGTCTCTCAGTCTCTGTCTCTCAAGTTTCTGTCTTTCAGTCTCTGTCTCTCAGTCTCTGTCTCTAAGTCTCTGTCTCTCAGTCTCTGTCTCTCAGTCTCTGTCTCTCAGTCTCTGTCTCTAAGTCTCTGTCTCTCAAGTCTCTGTCTCTCAGTCTCTGTCTCTCAAGTCTCTGTCTCTCAAGTCTCTGTCTCTCAGTCTCTGTCTCTCAAGTCTCTGTCTCTCAGTCTCTGTCTCTAAGTCTCTGTCTCTCAGTCTCTGTCTCTCAGTCTCTGTCTCTCAATCTCTGTCTCTAAGTCTCTGTCTCTGTCTCTCAGTCTCTGTCTCTAAGTCTCTGTCTCTCAGTCTCTGTCTCTAAGTCTCTGTCTCTCAGTCTCTGTCTCTTAGTCTCTGTCTCTCAGTCTCTGTCTCTCAGTCTCTGTCTCTAAGTCTCTGTCTCTCAAGTCTCTGTCTCTCAGTCTCTGTCTCTCAAGTCTCTGTCTCTCAGTCTCTGTCTCTAAGTCTCTGTCTCTCAGTCTCTGTCTCTCAGTCTCTGTCTCTCAGTCTCTGTCTCTAAGTCTCTGTCTCTCAAGTCTCTGTCTCTCAGTCTCTGTCTCTCAGTCTCTGTCTCTAAGTCTCTGTCTCTCAGTCTCTGTCTCTAAGTCTCTGTCTCTCAGTCTCTGTCTCTAAGTCTCTGTCTCTCAGTCTCTGTCTCTAAGTCTCTGTCTCTCAGTCTCTGTCTCTCAGTCTCTGTCTCTAAGTCTCTGTCTCTCAGTCTCAGTCTCTGTCTCTCAGTCTCTGTCTCTCAGTCTCTGTCTCTAAGTCTCAGTCTCTATCTCTCAGTCTCTGTCTCTCAATCTGTGTCTCTAAGTCTCTATCTCTAAGTCTCTGTCTCTGGGGAGAAAAGAGAGACGACAGAAGTTAAAGTTGGAGTTCCTACATTCTGTTTGTGCTACAGGAGTCACCAAACCAGATCACAACATGCTGTCTTCACACAGTATTTACTTATATAGCGCCTTTCACTGACCAGAGTCACAAAGCGCTTTACAATTATTGTGTTTGTCTCACTCCACACAGAGATGGAGCAAGTCACCTACAGGAGGACCTACTGTACATCATTTTCAAAGTAGGGGAAACTGGAGCACCTGGAGGAAACTGGAGCACCCAGACTAAACCTACACAGACTCAGAAAGAACATGCAAACTCCACACAACATGATAAAATGTTGACTCGACTGGAGAGAGAGGTCTGGGCTGACACTGGATTTGACCCTGCAACGTTCCTGTGAGGCCTGACCACTCTCTGCCTTTCAACTCTGGGCCAAGGGAGTCACGTCAGGCTTATCGGATCTGGATCACTGCTCACCGCTCGCTCACACACACACACAGACACACACACACACACACACACACGCTCACACGCACAAACAGACACACACACACACACACACTTGTTAATCGCTAGTGGTATTTCAACTAACTATGCGTTAGTGTTACTTGACTCAAGTGTACTTGAGTCAAGTTTTTGTATCAGATTCTGATACAATCTGATACATTTTTGAATCAGATTTTTGATCACAGTTTTGTGTTTCACAAAACTATTACTTGACTCAAGTCAAGTAATAGTTTTGTGAAACACCAAACTGTGATCAAAAATCTGATACAAAAATGTTTCCAAATTTCTTCCTTTGTGAAATTTTGTTGGAATGACCCTGATTTAGCCTTTAAAACGCGATATTGCCTAGATTTACTTTTGCATTAAGTATTTCAAGGGTTTCAAAAAGCGTTGAGACAAATAAGTTGTACTTTCTGAACAACCCCGATGCAAGGGGTTTCAGATGTTTTCAGAGAAGTTATCTGGCATTTACTGTTTATATAAAGCATTATTCATGACACACATCTCTAGTTTGTTAGATTAGTTTTTATGTGAGAGTGACAGTGCATTGACTAAACACAGTGGTGGTACGCCATTGCAGCCACATCTGACCTGGGATAGAACTTTGTAAGGCTACAAATCTGTACCATCAGCCCCTCGGACCATCACAGACACCCAAATGTCTTTGGACCAGATTTCTTTTTAGTTTTACTTGAGAAAGTGGCTCTAAGTTTTCTCTTGCGTCTCCGTCTAAAGTCTCAAGTTTTTCACGCAGTGGGCGATAAATTCACCTGCTGTCAATTCAAAGTAATTCAATGCATTTTCGTATCACCCTGAATCACAACAGTTGTTATTTCAGAGGACTTTACAAAGCTGTCGATTTGCCACCACGGATCAGAGAATCAAACAGTTCAAACGCAGGAAATGCAACGATAAAAAACACAGAGCCATTTGTCCGGATGACCTAAGTCCAAAAATGTAAATAAATGTGGTTGAATGTCCTGGATGCTCAGACCCTGTCAGGGAGTCTAGGTTTGTCTAAACTTTGATCATGTGGTTCTCCAGAATGCTAGCAGCCTCTCAGTGTGATTCCAGAGTTGAGTCCAGGACAGAGAAATAAAACTCTCCATAAACACCACTGGAACATGAGCCCGTCCTTCACACTGTCCTTCCCGCTGTCCTGCCCGCTGATAACCTGAACCTTGTCCTCCACGCAGACACCTTCCAACCTCTGGACACTGGAATGTGAGCCGAGAAAAACAAACGCAAAAATCACATTCACACGAAGAAGACTTTCCGGAGCTACATTGGAAATCCATATTTGTGCTGCCTCTGATAGCTCTTCCTCTGTCCCTCCCACAGATACTATTTAAGTGTGTCTTACGTAACATGAGGCTCCTTCAATATTAGGACTTGGATCGGCTTTCCAAGAAACCCACACAGATAGACCAGGTTTGATCCAAGCTTGAGCGCAGGTTTAGACCAGACGTAGTCCAAGATCAGACTTGGTTTTGACCAGGGTTGTGTATAGTATGGCCAGCAGATTATGGCCCCATTATGACTTCAATAATAACAATAACATTGCTAAGACAGAGATAGGATTTAAGCCACAAAACCTAGAATATAATTAATAATTGCAACGTATGAATTATTTGATATCTACTTCTTTAGACAAATAAACTATTGGAGAATATTAGAATTATGTGTTGTTTTGGGTTTGGAACTATAGTATATTCTTGCCAACCTTACCTAAAGTTTAGTAATAAAAAATGGAGTTTTGACTTTCCAGGTAAAAGGCAAATTGTGAACATCTTAGAAAATCAAAAAATCCAAGGCACTCGTGGTCAATAGTTTAGAAAGTTTAAAAAGCCTTTATTTTCTCATTGGCTGTAGATTAAAATACGCATAAACGCGTTTCAGCCTAGCTTGGCCTTCTTCAGGGTACCTAGAGTTTATTAGTCACAGTATGATTGGACACCGAGACCCTGCAGACGTGAAGAGTGAGGCAGTGATGAGGAGGAGGCAGGTTTCTGCATGAACTGAAAGCAGTTGTAGCCAGATAGAGATGAGCAGAGGCACAGGTGTGTAGTACTGGTACTAAAATTCTATTTTGTATAGCCCTAGATCACAACAGCAGTTGTCTCAGAGGACTTTACAAAGATCAGGAAATGCAATGGTAACAAACACATAAGAGCAATTGGTTGATAATCATCACTGTCCTTTGACCCTCCTGCATCAGCCATGAACAATGATTTAAGTGAAGAGGTAAGAAAATATCCATGGGAGCTACAGCATCTAAGATAAAGAATAAGAGATCCAAGTTACAACAGTAACAGGAAAGAAAGAATACAAAAAACTGGGCACAATACGCCTTTTTGATTACAGTCGGTGCCTTGTTCGTTGGTGGTGGATTATATGGTTCTCCTTTGCAGTAGAACTATTGGAGGCTTGTGGACTCTCACACAGACACTCAGGCTCAGCTTTACTATACATATCCAGATAATTATAGATCCGAGTAAGCTGTGTTCTGCCCAATGACATCAAATGAGCTCCAATGCTGAGCCCCTTTCATAGCAAACTAAAGACTTACATTTTCTCTACCTCTACTCTACCTCTACTTAAATTACAGTCTTATTTGGTCTGGTCCATCCAGTCCCTTGATAACCACTAAGAATTGAATGAAATGTGCTATACACATACAGTACATATTAAATACTCCTCAGTCTTCAATTACTAGGTTTTGGTCCCGTCTGTTCCAGATTTACGCCTACATCACGTTGCAGAAAATGGACCAGGCTTAGTCCAGATTGTGTATTGTGTTATAGAGAGAAATGGAGGAGGATTTTGAAGAGTCTATATTTATTGTTGGCGTAAGACGCCTACAGAATCTGCAGGGGTATTATTATTGGTTGTAGTCACATTTACATAAGTCACACTTTGAATAAATTAAAATCATCAACTTGATATTCAGCCGTTGGAGCAGGCCTTCAGAGAACGTGTTGAGCA